TTACTCTTACAGATGAAACGTCTAAATGATGTTTTGACTGTGAGCTTATCTACTTTCTGGCCTTGTATATCAAAACAACATAGATAAATTGTCACTGGGTAATGTCCTCTAGTTAGGCCTACCTCACGTGTTTTCTATAGTGCTGTAGCTTATTAAACCACTGCATGTAAGTTTAATATTTATTTTATTAACTATACCTATTGGTTATGGATTTATGCTTCATAAAATGTATATAATTTGCAGAAAATGTTGTTTACCCTTTCCAGGAAGATGTGCTCTAAACCTTGTTTATTCTGGGCAGCTGACCTATGACCTTTTGCTGACGTATATCTTATAGCCCAAACAGATTTGCTACAAACTGAGCAGAATTATATATTTAAATGGTTTGTTGTCAATGCTGACGTGAAATGTCACCTACATCCTCGCCAAGCAAACAGTCATTAGAATAAAAATACAACAGGTTCTATTATTTGATACCATCCATATATTTGCATTTATGAGATAAAATCAAAGGATACAGTTCCAACTGTTATTTTGCAGGAAACCAAAACAACTCGCCTGATCAGCCAGGCCAACAATGACAGCTTTCATTTTTAGAGGCATAGACCATTATCAGGTAACTAAGATCTCAACAACTCCCCATTATTGTTCTTATGATTCAGTTTGCTTTTTCCTAAGCCATAACAAAGATTTATTCATCCACTCTATAAAGCTTGGAACTCAACGCTAATTCTGACATTTTGAATTGAAAAATCTTCCTGGATGGAAAGTGAAATGTCTTCAAACTTGGAAACCAAGTCCTTTGGATTGTTTTATTTAATTGTTTTGGAATGACCATGACCTAGATGACAGAGAATCTTGAGAAGAACATCCAACTCTCATTGTTACAAATACCTATTGAGTCTTTATTTTAACATATTTTATCCTGTTTTAATGCAGATAAAAGCTGTTTTTTTGCTCTTCATCCCACTATGGCATCAGATGAGATTTGATCTTTACACTAAAGATCAGAGTTTAGTCTCTAGCTCCCCCCAGTGTTTAAATGAGGGTAATGCACCAAACAGTAGCAGTGCTAAACAAATAGCCGTTAAAGCTTAAGCTGTTTAGAAATTCAAGAATTATTGGAAATATACCTAAAATGTAAGTTTCAATGTCTTACAAAACTACTAATAGTAATATTATTAAATAAAATGCCGTTTATTATTATTGTTTTTTTTATTTATTTTCTTTTCTAGGTTTGCTTACTCATTTCCTCTGCAACACACAAGCTATTTTGTCAAGCAGAGACAACAATTAAATGTTTTGGCTTGCTTGCAAGGCATTATCTGTCACAAAAAACCCCCAGCCTCCTTACATCAACCTGAACATAGCATTCACACAGTGAAACACAGTGCAGCTGCCAGCATTTGGCTGATCAGAGGGTGGAAAGTTACTCTAGATACAAGGCGAGAGCTAACACTCAGTGTTTTAAATTACAGCACATTTATGTGATAACTATGGCCCAAGTCAAAATCCAGACTGAGATTAAATTGGGAATTTTTTTGAGAATACTTAAAAACTATTAGATCTGATTTTAGCTGAATTATTTTTGTAAAGTGGAATGGGGGGAAAAAATGTCATTATGAGATGTACACAACTAGACTGCCCAAGGTCTTGGATTGTTGGAGCACCATCAGTCTGACCTAGAAAAAAGTGTAAATGCTTTTGATCAAAAGTATGAAGCCAAAGCTTTGCAGGTTTGTAAAAGCCAAAACTACAACTATAGTGCAGGAGCAAATTAAAAGGAAAAGGAATAAAAGGATAAAAACAATAAAACCATAAAGCTTTATAAAAATAAGCATTTCAGGACTCTGCAGTAAACATATTTTAACAAAAAATAGGAGTAAAGTCCATCTATTACATTTAATGAAATTATAATAAACCTGGTAAATAACAGAAATGAAATGGATGATGAATGGTGAACAGTAATGTTAAATTAATTGTATTGTACTTACATATGGCTTTATCAAGTCAAGTCTTGAGAAGCAAAGCTGCAATACACTCAGCGCCACCAGGCCATCTGACCACCAAGGACACAGGGACAGAGAGGGACAGAGCAGGAGCTCAACCAACAATCCATAGGTTGCAAGACAAACCCTTAAGTCCTGAACCACTGTCACAATAAAAAGGATGGACTACTGATGAGATGGAAATAGTCAACTAGAAGTCTAGTGGCTTGGTTGGTAAATATAAGCATTTGAGCTGACTGCTGGTGGATAAAGAGCGAAACCTTTAAAAGCACAGTTTTCTCGTTGTTTGATTAGCAAAAATTCCCAGGATAATGATCTGGCAGAAGCCAGATCAACTGAAATGAAAGCAGTCTGAAGTTACTTCATTCATAAAACCCAAACCCCTTGGGGAAGTGCCTCAGATATTGGAACTGAGGTTCAATAGCAAGAATGGGAAAGAATGGAAGTAACTCTGAACCTGTGACTCATCTGCAGAGAGCACATGTTCCTTCTCTCTTAATGGATTTGATTAAAGTCAAGCAGAAGAAATTCTGGGAAAGGCAGGTGGTTCGCTGGGGAGACTGCTGGCTTAAAACGATGGCTCGGAAGCAAGTATGGTGTCAGCTATGAAAGATTTAATAGAGGCTCTTTACTCACTGATCTATGGACATATCAGCTGAACATCCAGCAGGATAAACATTAAGAATTCAGACTCATATATTTCTTTAAAAAAATATATAGTGTACAGTCATGTTGAACAGAGCCAGAGGCTTTACTAAAATGATGATCTTTGAAACAGAAACTTTTGTTCGATCTGAAATTGATAAGCATTTTCCCCATCTCAAATTTCTGTATAGAGCAGTAAAGGGGGGAATGTTTTGCTGAAGGAAACAAAATTGACTTTTTATGTTCTGGAGAATTGTTGAGTGGTAATAATGCAAAGATGGTGCAAATAAGTTTCAAACAAGTTATTTTTGATAAACATATTAAAAATATTTTTGCCACTGAAACTGACTGCTCCTTTCATTGTAATCATACAAAGGCTGGTTAGAATGGTTAGAGTCAGCATAGCACATTAAGAGGCCATAGTTTTTCTGAGTTTGGCTATTAATGTTTAAGCAGATCTACCTGTCACACCATGAATTGAATTTTTTATAAGGACCATAAACATCTAAGGTCTGAATGGTCTCTGATGACCTCTTGTGGGCAAAAGGAGAAGTGTCTACTTCAGTACAGATTGATGCCTGTGATTTCCAATATAGATATAGTCCCATTACTCATGTGTTTACAGAAACATCTAAAAAAAAACTAAAAAAAAACTAAGTGCAAAGCACTTTTGAAATATACTGTACATGTTGCTCAATGAAATAACATTTCTGGAAATATTTTTTAAAAGCTGTTTTTTCTTTAAACTTATGTTAACTTTAATCCCCTGGTTTGTGTTTCCAGAGATCATTAGAGTTGTGTGTCTCTTTAGAATCAAACTTGATTCATGAAGGTGATTCAGCACTCTATATCATAGTTATGGCTAAAAGATAAAAACTAGCATTTGTTGTTATTTTATCAGTGTATCCAATATTACTCATGGCTTATAAGCTTTGAAACAGATGATAGAATGAGGAAAGGAAAAAAATAAAACCCCTTCCTTATGCTGAAGTTTCAGGCCGAAAGAACATTTGTGAACTAATAAATCAAAGTTATCTCAGATTAGCACTGATTTCTCAAATTGCATTTCAATTAAAATGCAAATAGCTCTCTGAGGATGATATAAAATCGTTTGAGAAGCATTTTCTTTCCAGAGCATCAGCAGACATAATTCAATGTGCTGTAAGTACTGCGTTGTGCAGTATATAAATTGCAAAGTACGATGCATATTGTTTGGCTTGAATGGTAGAGCAATACTGGAAAGGTGGGAAATGGAATAGACAAGTGGATTTCAATTCAAAGACTATATGAAGTGTTTTTTTTTTTCTTTTTAATGCTTTTTTTTCAGTATCTAGGAGTCAAAGCTTTGACGATGAGAAGCATCTGTTGCCACTGTTAATTTGAAACCTCCCTTCCTGGCAAACTGGAGACTAACATTTTTTGCCCCCTTCTTTTGAAAAACTAGCCCAAACATTTTAAGGTTTGTTATGTCTTTAAATATCAGTTTTCAAGTCTTGTCACAACTTTGCAAACATTGAGTTTTAAACCACCCCCATGTTGCTCCAGCTGTATGTATGGATTATACATGTGGTGTAGTATAAATATTCCTTGTATAAAAAAAAAAGTAAATAAAATTTGTTCTTTTAACATAAAAATTATAAGTAAGTTTAAATTATATCAGTATTTTGCAAGGTACTGCAGACAAATTATCTGATAGCACTGGGCCATGCAGAAATAGGATTAGAGTGGGCTATGAACCACTGACCAACAAGCAAAATGGCTTTTGGGGAGATGTCCATAGGTCAAAAAATTTCACCAGCTCCCATCTGCCTGTCAGAGTCGGTTAGACAGAGGAAATTAACATGGAGACAAAGAGTTGGGAGCATGAAAGTAAACAGGAGAGATGGAGATGATGTGTTATCTGTGTCTGTAAGGGAAACACAATGACAGCTCGAGCTCCGCTGCTGCTGCTGCTGTTGCTGTTTTTTTTTTAGCAGCTGTCTGTATGTGGTGATGAGGATCTATGATAATAGATATAACCTCAGGCTGAATTTAATTTCCTTTGAAAGGGGAAACTGAGGAGCACAACATTCTGGTTTTCAGCTTCTGCACCATGACTTATTAGAAAGATAAGAAAACATGGCACCAGTTTTAACAGTTTAATCATCAGTTCTCTTTTTGGTACTGACAGAAGATGAGGAGGCACCGTTCAATGTTCTGTGACATTATTGAGCCGCTATTTTGTTAAAAGAACAACAACAAAAACATTAAATGTGTGAATTTTAAGACAAATGAGGTGGAAGCAAGGGGAAATACATTTATTCATGATTTCACTAATGGTTGCATTATTAGCAACTTACAGTGAATGTTAGCGATCAACCAGCAATGGAAACTAGAACTGAAAGAATGTTTGACAGAAAAAGATGCCTTTTTGTGACCTAATGAAAGTAAAAACTGATTTTATTTTAAAGTTTAAACTCTTGTAATTTGCTCGTCCCCCTGACTCTGAAGCATTTCATCTTCTGACTCCGGACTGTTCTGTGGGCAGAAGGGGATATAACGGACCCAGGACTGGCTTCGAAGGCATGAGGTGATTCCAAAAGGGAGGCTATAAACCTCTTCTGATGCCAAGGCATGACTGGAGTCTTCAAGATGTTCTGTGTTCCAGGTGTGAAGGCCACGCTCACGCTTGGATCCTAAATGAGGGTCAAATGTATATTTCACAAAGCACTTAACAAATATGTTGATAATTGGCAAAAAAAAAAGCCCAGTTCTGGTCAGGCATTCTTGCCCATTATATTGTAAAAACATTTGTATCCCCTAAACTTCCATGTACTTTTTTCAGGATTTATGATGCATGAAAATTAAGCAGCATAGTGTTTTAAAGTATTTTAATCACTAAATTAATCCTTTACAAATGAAACTCTGAAAAGTGTGGCACACACTAGTAAGTCCCCTCTACTCTATTTATTTTCAATACCTGATCAGTATTAACAAAGGTTGAAATCTGCCTAGGGGTTTTTGACAGGATACTGGAACTGTGCTGGATTTGCATCTTGATGTGAAAATAATGTGTAACAAGATTAATTAAAAATATTTCAAATTACCACTTTAAATCTTTACATTTTATCTCACACATCAAGCTCTAAATCACTTAAGGTTGCAGTATAAAAAAAAAAAAAAAGGAAAATGCAAGATTTTACATAAAGGTATAGTGGAGGATTTTTTTTTTTTTTTTTTGAAAAGACCCACTCTCTCCACTTTGAAAAAGAAATGCACATGCACAACCCTGTACCCACTCCCAAGAAGGAAAGCCTTTTAAACGCCTGCAAGAGCATGCACAAGCTCATTTCTCCTCCTGCATTCTCTGTTTAAATGTTGCTGTTTGCATTGCTCATACAATCTTACTTAGCAAAAGAAGATTTGCAATTTTTCCACTATATCAGACTCACCACTGGTAAGTGAAAACAGGGATGAGCACGTAGGACGTCTTTATGAAAACATATCACCAGAATGATTGACAATTAGGAGGACCACTTATTTTGGTGTGATCCATTAAGAACATCTTCCACTATACATTTAAGGTAATTTTAAAATTATGTAAAGCTGTATCCTTGTTTAAGGATACAAATATACAATAATTAAGAACTGTTATAGGACATAGAGATTATAGGACTGTTATAGGGCAAAAGATGAAAGTCTAAGATAAGCTGTAGAGTATACCCTGACATCAAACAAGTGAAAGATGCTACAGGCTAGCAAGTGATTTAGCACAATAAAAATGAAGTATTGCAATGTGCAGACCTGCAGCTACGCCAGTTATCCTGCTGTCTTTAAGCAAATTTGGCTCAGTTTCCAAATTCACGGTGTAATATATATTCATTTATGCATTATGTCTAAGCATAAAATGAAAGATTTTATTGTGCCCTTGATTAATCACTGATGACTGTTTACACTTATCAAATGATTTTCTCAATCAAACTATAGTGCACCATGTAAATATATATAGCATACATGGAAAATTGGGTTATATTGTAAAAACAATCCTCAAAATGTTAAAAGTTTAATACTGTTACAAAAATGTTTTGCTTTTTTTCTAAGTATGCATTTTATTCATTGTTGAGCTGACCTGTAACTAAAAAGAAAACAGAAAAGCTAAGAAAGAAACTGGAAAATCATTACAATGTATTACTAATCAACGAGTGCTAAATTAGCCTAACTTTATCCTTAGATCAAATCATAATATCACCTCAGAGTGACCAGAATAAAGCCCATTAGAGGCATATGTTAAAAGACTTGCAGCTGTTATTGCAGCAAATTGTAAGGCTGCAAAATATTATCTTATGCAGACTGCATTTTTCAGATTTTTATGTGTGAAAAGAAAAATTATTTTATGTATTCTTTTCCTTCCACTAATGTAATAAGCAATTATTTGCCTGGATCTATGATATGAAAAGCTTGAAAGTACATTTAGATTGATATAGTAGAAACAAATGTGAATAAGCTAATGGGATAACTTATGTGAGGCATGCTGAACAATTACAGTGAGTCAACAGCCACACAAGCGAGTGTAAACACTCTAAAGAACACTGGTTTTCGCTTATTTATTTAGAGTAAACTCACTTATTGTTATTGATTCTCTATGTGCCTAAATTCAAAGTAAGAGGCAAGATATAGCTTTCTGACAACTCTCCACTTCAGCTTACCAGGAATCGTGTTATCTAGGAAGAAGCCAAGGAACCCTCCTATAAACATATGGGTGGTGAAAAGCACACTCAAAACTTGGTCCACCTCTTTGACGCCTGTGTCACATGCAGAAAGGACAAGAAAATGAAATATCAACTCGGTTTGGTATATACTTCAGCTGTTCCTCCATTTAAAGCAGGAACAGCTGAAGTATATAAATCAGGTAATATTTCACACACACACCTGTCTCTAGAACGCCTGGGTTCTTCGCAATCCAGTTTGGAATGACAAGCGCAGTAAAGATGGAGAACCCAAAAACAAAGATGTTCCGAGAAGAATTCATATCTGTGAACTAACCCCACAAAAAAGATTACTGAACTCACCACTACTGGAAAAATGCATTTGTCAACAGCAGATAATAATGATATACAGATCCTTTTATTACCTGCAAATTTGAAATTCCAGCAGCAGATATGACACCAAACATGATCAGAAACATCCCTCCAATGACAGGAGTAGGAATGGTTGTGAAGATGGCTCCAATTTTGCCAATCATTCCCATCAAAATCATGAGAAATCCACTCAGGAGGATGACAGCCCGACTCCCCACCTGTAATCAAAGAGAAAAAAAAAAAGGGATTACTTTATGAGTATTTTGTGAAAGGGGAGAACCACATTAGTTTGATATATTTCTGAGGGAAAATTTAAAGCTACATTGAACATAAGAAAGTAAATTATCTGCATTTTCCACACTTACCCTGGTAATACCGAGAGCTGCCACGTTCTCACTGAAAGATGTGGTGCCGTTCCCTGTCCCAAAGGCCCCTGCCAGTAAAGAGCCAATCCCTTCGACACCGATCCCCCTGCTAATGGCATGCTTTGGAGGAGGAGGAGCCCCTGATAACCTGGCGCAGGCGTGGTAGTCACCCACAGACTCTGCCATCGAACATATTATTCCCGCCAGAATCCCAACAACAGCAGCCAGGTTTACGGTTGGAATCCCCCACTTTCCTGAATGAGAAGTCAACTTCACTGAATTGGTCTTTTAATCAATCAAGCTTGGTTTTTTTGCTTAGGCTACACACCGGGGTATGGCAGTGTGAACCAGGAGGCCTGGCTCACCACATTTCCTTTCACATCAGTGCGGGCCAGGTGACCATATTGAGCAGAATCAGATGGCAGGACGTCAAATATGGTGAGTAGGTAACAGACTAACCACGAGACAGCAATGCCCAGCAGAATCTAATTGACATCTAATATTAGTATGGATTAGAGCTCTGATAGTGACAACTTAGTAAATTTTAGTCTTAAATGACATGCATGTCACCGTTTGTGAGCAGAAGACATCGTACAGGCATGATTTGAAAGATGTAAAACTTTGAGATTTTCTCTTTTTTGGTTTTGCTGCATGAAGGGACAGGAATGGGGATGAGACGGAGGTACTGAGAGAAGATGATAATAAGCCCTGTTGTCCTGTGAGTAGAGGAGCATGATAGCATGCAAATAAAAACACAACAACACAACTTTAGAAAAGAAAAGTCATATAATGTATTTTACAAAGCAGATACTTACAAAGCAGAAATGCCCCAGTGGCTTCCAGCTTTATCTCCGGCTGAGTCATACAGAGCCAGGCCTATAAGAGACACTGTGGGAGCGATGGTTAAGGGGCCAATGAAGCGCATGAGGAACCCAATGAGGCCAGAGAAACCAACAAGAATCTGGAGGACAGATGCCACCATGATAGAGCCCTGCAGCTGTGGACAGAAACACAAAACACAAAAGCATGAGCATTTATGCCACTCTTTCACTCTATTATGATCACAACTTGTTGTAGTTCCAAGAATAGAAAACAAACACAGTGCCACTAAGAAGTACTCACTACCCAGTTTCTTTTTAGATTGATCACTTTAAAACCACTGGTTTTAGTGGGATTTTATGTGACAGGCAAACACAAAGTACTTTTCCGTCAAGGATGCACAACGATAAAATAATGTTGCTAAGTAATATCCTAAAAGGTGTTCATATTATCCAACCTCATTTTCTTATGCCAATAAATGAAATGCACTACAACCCATTGCCTATTAAATAAAATCCACACACACAAGCTAAACTTAGTAGAAACACAACTGCTCTATGAAGGTCTCAGAGGATTGTAAGGAAAAAACAATTGTAAAAAAAAACTTCACGAAGACCAAGAATCCCAGTAGACAGGAATTAATAATGTTGTAAGAAATATTAAACTAGGTTAGTGTTGGATTCGTTTTTCATATTTCTTAGTTCGTTGTATTCTTTAATTTTTTATCATTAGGTAGATGCTGCTGTTCTGTTTATCCATTGTGCTTAGTTCTGACATCACACAGACACCTCATTGTCTCCATAGTCTGCACCTCCTCTATCCCCTATACAAGCTCTTTGTTGGACATAAGTGGTTGCTGGATTATTCCTTTGTCCTGTCCAATCTTTATTACATGTTCTAATTGTTGTGTTGTCTTACAGTTCCCACATTGTTTATATTTGATCACTGCTGCACTTTATGGAATAGAAATGTTCATTTAATGTCTGGCAAGCTCTATTGAACCTAATTCCGTTTTGTATACACTCTGTGTATACAAAATGACAATAAATATTGTCTAAGCCTAAGTCAAATTCTTATTGGGAATTCACAAAAGGATTTAATACATTTCTTTATTGTTTCATCCCTACACAAGACTTATTTTTTACCCCCCCAGCTTTCATGTTTGTACTTTACAACCAAAGGCATGAAAGTTAGGAAATAAAGACTTTCCCAAGCTTTTAACATCTTTGATAACTATGAAATTTGTCATTCTGAAATGAGTCTAGGCTGGAACAACCACAAACCTGGCAAGACAGAACCATTCACATTAGATCATATTCAGAGAAGAAGCAATGATCCCAACAGCAGCAGAGACAAACAACTCAGGTGCATTAATTTGTCTATTTATTTTGCACGCTATAAATATGAAGTGGCAAGAACTGAACCGCCGGCTCAAAATAAATACTGTTACTCTAATTGTCATAGGGCCTATGGGGTACAAAGCAACCCTGTGGAAAAGGATACTTTGGTCAGATGACACAGATATTAAACATGTTTTATCTACATGCAAAACAATATATGATGCAAAATACATTTTACATCACCCTGAGCACACCTTTCATATGATGAAGCAAAGTGATGGCAAAGTATTATGCTATAAGTGTAGGCCTGTTATAACAGGATACAACATGTTGGAGGCTTTAAAAGACTGATGCTCAGGTTTACCTTTCTGCATGACAACAGCTATTAATGCAAAGCCACGATGGAGGGGTTAATATCCAAACATACTCAGGTGAGAACATATACCGATAACTAAACTTATAACTAGACTTAAAGATTCATCTTCTGATGCTTTCCTTTTAATCAAACTTAGCTTGAGCTATTTTGCCCCTAAACATGTAGAAAAACCATGAGTCTGTACATATCGTAGCTGTAATCACAGAAACACTCAGAAAGGCTGAATCTAAATGCATACTGGATATTATAGATATTAACTTTTATTCGCAAAAAAAAGAAAAAAGAAAAATCAGAACCTTTACCTTTAACTTTACCATTATATGTTACTTTGTGTTTGCCCTTAAGAGAAAATCCCAATAAAACACATTGAACATGACAAAATATGAATAAGTTCGATGGAAAGTGACAGTTGTAAGAAACTGTATCTGAATAAAGGAATTTGTGTTTTGGCTCACAGTTCTCAAGCGTTTCTGCCACTCTTCAATAAAAACAGGGGAGGAGGTGTTGACTAAACTGGCATTCTGGGTCCAAGCCGGGCACTTCCACTCTGGTGTAGATAAAATGGCCATAGCTGGGGTCACCAAGGCAAAAGTACCTCCCTGCAGGATAGGAAGTCTTCAGGGTTTAAGAAAAAAATAGATGAAAAAGAATACAATAAACCCATTTAAGTCTCAAGATTTGCAAGACTACAAAGGGACATAGAAAGATTTCAAGCCTGATCATTTTATTCCAAGTTCAGTTTGCATTTAATAAAATAATAAATGGAAAACAGGTTTCCTACGCAGGAATGTTTTAGTGGTTTTAATGTTTGCCAAATAAAAAATGATATCTGCCTATGTTTAATTTTAAGATGTTAAGCCATCTATATTTTTAGCATAACCTAACATCTGCTAAGAAGAAGAGAATGGAGAACCATTCGTCATTGTCTGTCATTCTAGTGAAAACTGAAGTGCTTATTCTACCTGGTTTAGCCAAAGGGAAAAAGTTGAATGGAGTATTGTTTTCAGTTGATGGATGGAGTTCGGCAGAAAAAGGATCTAAACATATATAGTTACATAACATATAATTGGGTTTGTGCAAGTTTCCATAGAGATGCTTAATCTGGTTCTTGTGAACTTAATATAATGAGGTCATCATTTAAAACACAAAGGCAGTTCAGCAAATTTTATGACTCTGAGCTACTGTTTACTAACAACATTTATAAAAACCTCAGGAACTTCTCTCACCTGACTCCAAAAGTAACCTGCAGAATTGTGCAGAGGCCAGAAACAAAGAATATGTTGTTGATTAGAAGACCCTGGGTGAGGGTGTCATGCTGCAGGCATAGTCCCTCAGAGAGGATGAGAGGGATGGCGATGATCCCACCAAATGCTGTCAGGTAATGCTGTAAATGAGAGAAACATGAACCTGGATGTGCTGACACAAACATGACACCCAAAAAGAACTTAAAATGAAGATGGTTAAGGCATGCCTATTCTGCTTCGATAAACTAAATACTTCATTGTAATTTCTATGTCTAAATTCTAAATTGAAGCCATTATTCCATCATAATATGTTGGCATATTTTGTGTATTTTAATCCTTGTGTCATTTCCTGTTATGTTTCCATTATGTAATCTTAGTTTCCCTCAGTCATATGTTTCAAAATCAGCCATGTGGACTCATTTGGCCATGAGTATAATTAGATTTAACCTCTGACATAATTCAAACGTATACCAGAACCTGTCCATCAGTAGATAGTGCAGCCACCTTAAACACTGCAAATCAGAGAGCACTGTGCTGGTGCCTGTTATTTTCCAGTTGGTTTCACATGTGATTATATCAGGCTTTGTTTGTTCCAGATTTAGTGTTTAGGCAAAACTTATGTTTGCCTCATGTGAAAAGGTTTATTGGTATGTTTAGAAGAAGAAAGTAATGGGATCTTATTTGTAGCCTTTTTTTCTTGTATAAATATCATGTCCAACTCACCTCTTAGTTTCAGATTTTCGCCCCCTGTAGGTTTGAATTTGATTCTACTGCTTTAGTTATTTTACCAGCAAAGAAGTCATGCATTAATTTAGACCGTTTAACCCTGCAGTAATCAACTTCACCACCTTTTTGGTTCATTTGATCCTCTGTTGATGTTTTCTGAGCATCTGTTTTGGTACGATATAAAACCCAGTAAGATGACTTTACTTTAAAAAAAACAAACAATACAAACTTTTTGCCAATAAAATTAATTTAATTGAATTTAAAAATAGTAGGGTCAAGTTGTACGCATATGTTTTCCACAACTCAATTCACTAATAAGTAGAATTAACTTATGAGGATAATCCTTTGGAGGAACCATCCGTTAGGAGTGTCCTGTTTAAATCCAACATTTGTTCCTTAGATTTCATAATTGCATTAAATTAGATTAATATTGCCCTATTACATATGAAATATATAAATCACAATTTGATTAGATGATGCATGTGAATGGAACATTAATGTTTGATTCACAAGCACAAATCAGCTCCCTGTATTCCATAAACAAGCAATGAATAGATCTAAATATTTGAGACAGCAACCTTGCTCATGGTGTTTTCTGGCCAAATCCATTCTCAAAAAGTCTTTGAGTCCACAGCACTCTGGACTATTTAACTTTTGTATGTGGACTCAACTTCAGTGCATTTAGTTATCAAGCATTTTTTTAATATTACAGTTCATAATATGTATTCAAGTGGAGTATACTAGAAAACAACAAGTTGATGAAAATTTGTCTCTGTCCACTTTTTTCTAATAACCTCAATATTGTGTTTTCCAGTGAAGCCTGTTTGTTGTTTATATCCTCATTAATCACGATTTTCCCTGTGTCATTTTTGCAATTGTTTCTCTAAAAGCAAACATGGGCTTATTGGTCTTTGAGAACCTTTTTCAATGTTGGTTACCAGATATTCTCTACATTTTTCTCAGATTAATCATTGATGTTGTGTGAGTTTATAGCACCTTAATATTGGCTGCCTGTTGCGTGTCACAACTGATGTTTTCCCCAATAGCTTATTTAAATAAGACAGTTTCTCTGTCCGGATATAAAGTTATAATCTTCATTCTGTACGTGGCAAATATTTGGGAATGGAATGTGGGTGGTGTCCTTCAGCTAAGAACAAAGTGTAATATTTTGATAAGGCTGCAGCCATGGATGTCTCCTCATCTGCAAACCTGTACGATGTAAATGTGATGATGTGGCAGAGTGGAGTTGTATAAAAAGCCTCTTTAACTCTTTAACAATCGGGGCCACTTTCCAAGAAGTAACCCCGGGGGAAAGCAGCTGCCTTCTGTAAACTCTGAGCAACTTCTCTGATCTGAGTAAGATTACAATTTCAATTTTCAAATCTTTAACACAAACACATCTGTATAGTCTGTGGTATTCTATATGAGCTATATGTTTAGATTAATAAGCTTAAATTCAAAAGAGGACGATTCTAAATTTGGCATAAGCAGTGCTAAAGATTCTTCCAAAAGCTTGTAACTCGTGTTGTCTTCCTCTTTCCATCTGTTTATGTTTCCATTTTAGAGTCCACCCTAAATATAAACAGGCATAAGTTGAAAAATATTTGAAAAAAAAAAAAAAAGTTGAAGCTTTTTGAATTTTTCTATGGTTTGCAGCAAATAATATGACGCTTGAACTAAGTAGGCCTCTACTTCGTTGAAGTAAAAAAAAAAAAAACAGGCAGGCTGCAAGGATGTGGTAGAGGCACGAAATGACTAAAATTGATCTGGAGCCAAAAATGACTTTTTTCTCCTTTAGTTTCATAGTACAGTTAAGTTCTACTCATTTTAAAATGATTTAACTGGACTGCCTAAAATCTAAATAATTTAAGTTTTTAAATGTAAATAATATTTAAGTTGGTTGAACTTAATTAAATAACTTGCTACTAATCAAAGCAATTCATTTAGGTTGGAGCTGTATTCCCCTTATAGAGCTTGGTAGTGGATTTTTCATTAATGATTCCCTTAAAACACCCTTATGAACTTTCGGTCAGTGTTAATAGCTAAACTTGTTTTGAACACACTTTTTTACAATATGGGTTAAACATAACAGAAATAATTTGTTTTATTAACAAGCTCTTTTTAATGTTCCTGACCTGGTAACGGTTATTCTGTCTACTATTACATGTTTAAACTGAACTCTAAATGAAGAAAAATCTATTTTTTCTCAAACATTAAAATAACCTTTCATAGCAAAAGTTTTTTTTTTCTTCCTGAAATTCAAGGTATTCCTCTATCACCCTATATACATTAGGCAACTTTCAGCTGGTCTGGATTGGGAAGTTGATAACCCTGCTGGGAATCAAAAGTAGAAAAACTCAAGATAATCATAATTGAGCTTTATTCATCTCACATTGGAGAAATTTATCTCTGCATTTAACCCATCCCCTTGGGGAACATTGGGCTGCCAGTGTGCAGCACCCAGGAATCAGTTGGGGGTTAGGGGTCTTGCTCAGAGTGCCAGAGTGGGAGTGGGGCTTGAACTCAGAACTCGCTGGATTCCAAGTGTAACACCAAACAGCAGGCTGCCACTCCCCCATAATGTCCAAGCTCATTTCCACAGATGATATTGCCATGGCTGCATGGTCCAATGAACTGAAATTCTACATTCTCCTCTCAGACTATATATCTCAAATTTTAAAAAAGTGGACAATCAAAACAATATTTCCATTTGATCTGGGAATACAGCTTTTGACCAATTTGTTAAGCAATGGTTTTTGCCTAGAAGTAGGTGTATTATTTATGCTTTTCCATAAATGAGCGGACACTTAAAACTATGAGATGTAGATTCCTGTATGTTCTCTGTTTATTATTTAAAAAAAGGATTCACATATGTATTTAAATTATTAGTGGTAACTGATTAGATTTTCATTAATTAGTGAGATTATTCAAGGAAAGTCTTGTCAGCCAAAAAGCGGGGTAAACCCACCTGAATGGCCAGGAAAATACAAAGGTACCAAGGAGGGACGTCGGTCACACAGTAGGTGGGTTTATTTCTGTCTTCTGTCGCACAGCTGCTCTGGCTGGTCTCCTCACTGACCTCCTCATGCATCTGTAGTACCACATGCAAAAAAAGCAAAAAATAGAAAAGAAATGTCTTTAGCAAAGCCAAGTATATATATAAAAAAACAACAACAAAAAAAACAGAATAAATTGTGAAGATTTAGGAGATGACATCTATGGACTGCTTTACTGAAAGTTTCTACATAAATAAGCATCAAAGCTTACATGGAGACTTGTATATATATATATATATATAGGAGATGACATCTATGGACTGCTTTACTGAAAGTTTCTACATAAATAAGCATCAAAGCTTACATGGAGACTTGTATGTATATATATATATATATATATATATATATATATATATATATATATATATATTTTTTTTTTTTTTTTACTGACAGCTACCCAACCTTTATCACCACAGCATATCATCTTTCTACTACTGACATCAAAGTGCAAGGCTTGTGAGTTTACTTAAACATATACATAATAAAATATAGAAGGAATAAGTTATTTTGAAAAAGTGGCCAAATATATCCGAATGATGCTGCTGTAAACACTAAGCATTGCAAGATAGGTGTGATTCTAATAACAGAACTTGATACACTTCCGCCTCACTAAGTAAATCAAAGCAAAAGCACAAGCACGTTTTCTATAAATCTACAATTGTACTTACAAATGCAGGGTTGTCAATTCCATTGCATTCCTTCTTTGAATTCATTACAGCTACGAAACAATGAGCTTCTGTAGATAATTGTCAAAAATAGATTTGTGCAAAAAATATACCAGGTTATATATAGAGGTGACCAGAGGCACAGAAGTAGAGTTGGATTCCAAGAAGAAGAGACACTAACCACTGTTTCTCAAAATCATTAATAGATCCGCCTCACCTTGATCCCAGAAGGAAAACCTGGTGCAAGCCTTGTACATTCCTTATCACCTATCGCTGTGTGTAAAAATACCAGCGAGGGGAAAGTGTTCTTGCCAACACAGCATACAATAATAGTGATTTACATAACGTAAAAGAAGAAATTTAAAACTAATTGTAGTTTTAAATAAATGTTGAAACTTAATAATCTTTTTCAAATCTCAAACAAATTTTTTATTTTGGTTTATCGGCTAAGAGATCAAGTAAAACACATAGATAACCTTTTACAGACGGATTTTATGTATATGGTGGTGATTCAAGGCTTGAGAACTTTAATCTTTGTGAGAGCTATAAAGTTGTTTTTCAGTGGTAAAAATATTTGAATTTAAGCTTTCAAAACTGAGTTTATGCTTTTTTGTCTTGGAACAAGAGGGTTACTTATCTTATGACCATACAGATCCCTAAGACAGATATAGGTTAAATGTCTATTTTATGATAGCTGGTAAGTTGTTAACCCAGCTAAAACACAGACTGGGTTAATCATATTCAAAGCAAGTGCCTAAAGGGGATGGATGGGTTCAGCGAAGATAATGGTAGATAATGATATCGTTTTCATGTATGTTAAAGGAAAAAAGGAGTTCCCCACCTTTATATTAATATTATAACCTCAGTATAGAATATACAAACACAGCTGTTCTGTGAAGGCTTTAAGGTTTGTGGAAAATATTATCTTCAACTGTTTCTCCTTTAAGGGAGCTGGTGTCTATCTCCAGCAGTCTTTGGAAGAAGACGAACAGCATCCTCACTTTATTGTTATTTAACTCAGAAAGCTCATTAAGGGAGAACACCCAATAAAATACAGTGCTAAAAAAATAGCAGTGTAATATGCTGTAATAACTAAGGACAGAGGGACCCAGTTTTCAAGGCAAGACAGACAGTGGGATAACTCAAAAAGCGTTTATTTAAAAGCCAGATCTGCAGATCTGTAGTAGCAGTGGCTGGGGCGTCAAAGGTAGGAACCTCTACAGGACAGAACCACAGGTTAGTGACCATGATATTCTGATGGAGGATGATTATGAGTTAGTCACCAACCTGGTTTTACCTGGTTTTACAGTTCAGTTTTACAGTTCAGTCCATGCCCAAAGAAAGAGGACGATTCCAGGCGGTCGGCTGACAAGAGGAAGAAAACGCTGCCAGAGAGTTCCAGACGCTGAAGCCTTGAAGGCTGCAGAACTGGCAGGAGATTAGATACAAACAGACGAAGGATGGCAGGATAATCCAGAGGACAAAGTCAAGAGGCAGATGCAGGTTAGTCCACAATAGAACCCAACAAGATCCAAAGACAGGTCAGGCAAACAGATCAGAATAGGAAAAAATCAAGCTCAAAGGTACGACTACAGAAAAGGGCCAGGATCAGACAATCAGAACACTATTAAAAATGCTAGAAAACTCTAAACACCAAAGGCTCAAGAATAATTTGGCACTGATGGCTTGTAGGCAGGAGCAGGCGGATTAGATGAGCAATAATGAAAAACTGGGCAGAGTTAGGCAGGTGAATGAAATGAGCAATTAGACCAGCCATCAGCGCCAAGATCATGACATATGCAGCTAAAGCTGAACACACAAAAACGAATGGCAGCTAAAGGTCAAGGGATAATAAGATCAATATTTAGAATTAAAATGATAGAGGAGAATCTATAATGTAAGTATAAGGCTTTGCTGAATGTTTTAAATGTAAAGTGCATATTCCAAAAGAATAATCTAATCCTGAAGATGTAAGACAACACAGCGGACAGGTCAGGGGTACATATGTGGAGGGGACAAAACCAAAGAATTTTCCAAAATTTGAACATCTTACAGAATACTTTTACCACATAATTTGTTTAAGAACATGCAAAGCCACACACCTGGCAGGAGATGAATGTCCATCTAATCTGACAGGCCAAGAGAATCATGANATGCAGCTAAAGCTGAACACACAAAAACGAATGGCAGCTAAAGGTCAAGGGATAATAAGATCAATATTTAGAATTAAAATGATAGAGGAGAATCTATAATGTAAGTATAAGGCTTTGCTGAATGTTTTAAATGTAAAGTGCATATTCCAAAAGAATAATCTAATCCTGAAGATGTAAGACAACACAGCGGACAGGTCAGGGGTACATATGTGGAGGGGACAAAACCAAAGAATTTTCCAAAATTTGAACATCTTACAGAATACTTTTACCACATAATTTGTTTAAGAACATGCAAAGCCACACACCTGGCAGGAGATGAATGTCCATCTAATCTGACAGGCCAAGAGAATCATGAAGACTCTGTAGGAGCTGCAGAGATCCATGGCCTAGAAATAAGTTGTGCTTTTCCCCAAACCCACAGCTGTTGGATAAGTAACTAGAAGAAACTAAGAGACCGCAAAAACAACAACCGAGAAAGGGACGGACACAAATATAAGCCAGTCCTGGTAAAAAAAAATGAATATGTTAAAAACATGCAAAGAGTGGGAAGCTGTTCATCTTCCATTAGGTAATTGATCCTGCGTAAAAGTCTTAAAGAATATATTTGCACTCAAAAGTTGTTATACACTCACAAAAATATTTCACTGAAATTTTAAGATTTATGTAACAAATTCCCATCTACTATGTTTAGAAAATTTTAACACAAACCTAATAAAAAACTTTACATGATTCATATACATATATATATATATATATTTTTTTAGAATAAAGTATATTTAAAAAAAATACATACCGTAATCATAAAGTTTATGAGTTAAAGTATATTTACTTTAAATCAATACTAATCAGTGTATTTAACTCAATTACATGAAGTTAATTGTTTGAAATAAATAAAAATAACTATTATTATTATTATGCAACTGAAACAATAAACTTTATGTTTTTTAAATAAATACACTCGATAGTATAAATTTTGAGGCACTATATTTCTAAATCCTAAATACATAAACCTGAAAATTATGTGTTTAAAACAAATAATCTTTATTGTATAAATTAATAAGAATCCTGTAAGGTTTATTTATTAGGTTAGTTTTCAGATTGTTTAAGATTTTTATATATGTAAAATTACATAAATCCATAAAGATTTGGGCGGAATATTTTTGTGAGATATATATATATATATATATATATATATATATATATATATATATATATATATATATATATATATTTATATTTGGGAAGTAGAACATGGAAGCATCTGTAAAAAGTCAGAAATATGCATTTCTTAATGCTGGTCTATCAAATTCAACTTGAATTTATTCAATTTAGTAATGAGGATGCAAAATTACAAAATGTTTAAAAAGAAATTAATACTTTTACCTTTTTATATTGCGTATCCCTACTCTTGGTGATTCAGTAAACATTGAGTCACAAAAACTTTTGTTTGGTTGTTTTCCGAAGTATATGTCAGTTCAGTCCATAGGGGAGTAGTGCACACTCACCTTTTCTTACTGATCTAGGTTAACAACAGTGGAAGAAACAGTACCACGGGCTAGGAACAGGTCAGAGTGACATGATTTTTCTTGGCAGAGATGCAACACAAATGTGACACCAACACTAGTGAGTGCTTTGCAGTTTTCTTTGCACTATTTATCCTGCCTGTGTTTGTGATATATATAGGAAATTTCTGTTAACCCTACATGTTAAGAGTTATTAATATTCCACACAGAAATCTTTGCAGCACCCTAAACTTAAATGTTTCTTGCTGCAGAGTAACACATCATTAACCCAGGGTGATATGTTTTGAGATAATGTGACTCCATCATTTTGTAGTGAAGTTTTATATGCTCAAACAGTGTTTCAAGAAGAAGGGCCCTCTTACTGCAAAGTATGCCGGACTGCTTACTTGAACATTAACGATGGGCTTTAGCTGGTAAGTATTTTGTCCTTCTTATGTTGATACAAAAACTACCTGCAAGTAAAATCCACTGTGATTGTTTTCTGCAGGATTTTCATATCAACAGCACCACTGCACCAAACAGACACACACCCTTCACCAAATAATGGGAGACGATGCTTTTCATAAAGTGTTACAGCTGAAGAAACTGCTGCTTTACTTGCATGGCTCAGTTAACATCACAATGACTGAGATACAGTTCAGTTTCTTTCATGCAAATCTGCACACATGCTTACATGGCAGTTACGTGATGACCTCTGGCAGGTAAAGATGGGACAGAGAAGTAAAAACAAAACAAACATTAAACCAACATAGCAGTGGAAATTATGAATTTAATGTAAACTGAAATCTTTGTGGTTTTAAAGCAGCCTGAGAAGAAATTATGAAGCTCCTCTTGAAAGCTGAACATTTTAGTTAAAAGAAATAAAGCTGCAAATCTCCTCTCATTGTGGACTAGATCACAGGAAGCATATTAGGAGTATAACTCAAACATTCAGCTGCTATTTCTCTGCCTGGTACTAATGGGTTTTATCCCTTTTTTCTTTGATGTGGTGCTTTTGCCTCCATTTAACACAGGATCAGCTGCCAGGTTAACTTGACCTCATGTGCAAGGAGACATATTAATGTAAAACCGCAGCTTTCATCCAACATTTTTTGTCCCCAACACATTCATGCTCCTTAATATAAGAGAAAAAGGACTTTTCAAATAAATTTTAAGTAGCAGCTTTAGTTATGTCCTGAAAGGGACACAGAAAGTGCACAGGAAATTATACCAGTGATGCTTTGCTGCTCTGCACCTTAAGTGATATTTAGAAATAGTTTCAAATGGTTTATTTTCAATATGTTTATTATTAACCTGTGGCAAGGCCCATCTTTTGTATAATTTTCTCATGAAACAAGCCCTGCAGGCTAGATCAAACAAAAATAAAGCTAAAAATGATTAATGCTATTAGATTTGCAAAACTACAACTCTGTATTTTATGCAGTTACCTGACAAAGTGATTGAATTGTTTTT